CTTGAGGCTTATGCCTCAAGCTGGGCCTTATGCCTTGAGGCTTACGCCTTATTCTGACAAAGGCTTAAGCATCACCCATCAAACTTGTGAGGCTTAAGCCTTGAGGCAAAATCTGTATGCCTCACCTCAAGGCGTATACCTCATGCCTCAAGGCTTAAGCCTTTTAAAACAATGATTCCAAATCCTTGAATTGGTAAGAATTGAAATTCAAAGAAATAGAATTAGACATTAGAATGCTACTATTTAGATAAGCAACAAAGTTGATTTGGAATTAAAATAAAAGTAGTATTAATATATGACCAGTAGTTGAAGAGGATGAACTTATAGTCAACCATTGCACAAATTTAGAAAGAAATGCCTATTAGGAAGATTAGCCGAGGTGAAGGCAATGATAGGATCCCAAGTCTCTTTTCCAACCAATGAAAAACCTTACTAGCAAACTCGCTGACACCCTCAACCGACAACATCTTCACAATCACAAAGAGAGAAAAAAAAGGCCCAAACTAAGAGAATAGGCACTATTTACTCCTTTAATCAAACTGTTCTATACAAAAATATGAAGCTTCATGCAAAAAAAATGTTGTTTGGATGGTCATGATGTACTTATAGGCCATCCAAATGTTATGTCTGTATCCAATTCATCCCTCTTAAGACCCTAGATGCCTAGACCAACCTTGGGTAATGGTTTTCTTTTTAATGTAAAGAAAAGAATGCAACCTACAATACTCTAAAAGACTTTACTACCACATCTATTTTTGGTCATGGCCATGGTCTATAGTATATATATACTATTTAATACTATAATAGTATATATATTATTAATATAGTATAATATACTATTATAATATAAACTATTATAGTATATAGTATATTATAGTATACTATTAATAGTATTATAATAAATATTAATATATAATATTATTATACCCATAAACCTTAACCTTAAATCCTAAAATAAATATGTAAAAAGTGGTTTGATGATGGTCCTTTGATTGACTAGGAGACAAATATGTTCCATGTGGGAAGCTCCCTACTTGATTCTATTAAGAAAAAGAAATAAAGAAAAGCAAAGTAGGTCCATATTCTTTCTACCATTCCCAAGACCTAGATGACCAAGAATAAGCATACATTATAAAAATGAACAAGTTCCTTCTTTTTCCTAATTTTTAGATTTATTTGACATTCATAGCTTTAGTTTGATTAAGTTTTTTACTATAAAATCCAATAGTCTGTAAAGAATGGAAAATAATCTAGGGCATTGAAGGTCCACAAAGATTAGGCAATTACAATGGAAATATATCAATTAATTGATTTCTATTAATGAACTACTAGTTTAGAGGCATTGGTAATAGTAATACTTGCTCAAAATGTCCTAACTGATTGATAAAATTAATCAACCATTAATTGCCAATGCAATGCCATTCTACATAAATGGTGTGAAATTGTGGAAAAGCATCTAGAGGTAATTTTTCAAATTTCATTTTTTTCACTAGCATGAAAGTGGAAAAACATTTAGTATATATATTTTAGCAAAAATTTTAAAGTTCGATTTAGAATTTTGGGATTTTAGCATTTACTTGAAGTTTTAAATATAACATGCAAAATAAAATTAACCTTTTTAGTAAATAAAGGCATTTATCATCAACATCATCATTGAAGTGCCTTATCCCAAATATATGGGGTTGGGTATACGAATCCTATTTTGCCATTCTATTTAATGTTACATTTATTAATATGTTATTTCTTATAGATGTTGTTAATGGTCTTCTATGTACATGATCAAACCATCGATCTTAGTCTATTTTCCTCATATAAAGACTTTGGGAAAATAGATAAACACTTAAATAACAATCAAACAATCAACTAAACTAAACAAACAACCAAGGTTTTCTCAACATTTAACATGAATAACAACTAGAAATATATTTTTGTCTAGATAAATAGTATGTTTCTAAATTTTTCTATAATTTTTATAATTTCATGTGTATAAAAATAATTCTTTTTTATCGCACTTATTTTTGGTTAATATGATGAATATATGATGTTAATAATGCATTCAAATGTTTTCTATATTTATATTTTTTAATTTTTATATTTATTTATATTATTTAATTATGACATCAAGGGTTAACACCTTTTGACCCAAAAATGTTGAATTTTTAACTTGCCACAAAACAATAAAATAATTTCATTTTTTGGGTTGGTTTTAAATTTCCTATTTTATTTTCATCCTTAATAAAGACAAAATTTCTTCACACTTATATTTCTTTAATAAGATTAATATGAATTCATAGAGATGGAATTTCTATATTTTTCATAGAACTATTGTGTGTTTTATCTTTTATAAAAATTTATTATATTACTATGATATTTGGGGTTGACGCATTTGACTTGAAAGATTGAGCTATTTACTAGCCATCAAATAGGGAAACAATTTCATTTTTGGGCCAGTTTTAAATTTTGTATTTCAATTCCCTCATAAATAAAAACAATTCTTGCTTATCATAGTTTTTTTTCCTTTAATATGATTAATATAAATTATTAATTAGTTACTTTCTGTATTTTTTCATTTTTGTATTTTATTTTTAATTTTTATTATTTAGTTTTGATCTCAAGATTGACACATTTGCCCTAAAATTATGAACTATTGACTTGCCACTAAATAGGAAAATAGTTTCATCTTTAAGTCAATTTTAGTTTTTATCACACTTTATTTTTATTTAATATGATTAATATATAATATTAAGATATGCCTATTTTTTTCTACAATATTTTTGTATTATTTTTATTATAAATGTTTTATTATTTAACTATGGCATCATGTGTTGGTCTATTTGATTTCGACAATTGAATTGTTTACCCACCACTAGGATGGAAAAATGGTTTTTTTTTTCAATCAATTTTAAAAAACATGGATTTTATATTGCTATATATTAATAGAATTTATTGGTGAGAAAATTAGTCTAAATATAGGATTTATTCAATGAGGAAGAATTGAAGTCAATGCCTTACAAATAAGACTTAATGATAGGGAATTAAATGAAGTAAAAATTACATTTTTTGCCCTCATAATTAGAGAGGGACCATATTCACAAGTAGGTAGGTGGTGTATATAGATTGAATTTGAATCAAATCAAGTACTATCCAAATTCGATTCAATATCTAACAAATATTGAAAATTAGCATTTGAATTTGAATTCAATTAGAATTAGATTGATTAATAATTATTTTAGATAAATACTATATGTAATAAATATTTTATTTATATAAAGTATATAAATTTATAAATAATTTATATAACTCAGATGCCATGTATATAAAATATATAATATATTTCAATATTTTATATATTTTAAACAAGAATTGTATAACTAATCAAATTTAGATACCTACCAAATTGAATCAGGTCATATTTGAATTCAATTGGAAATTAGATTTTCGAATATTAGTGATGCCCTTAAAAGTAGGGGTATTTTAGTTAAGGAAAATGATTTAATGAAAGATAATGGAAGTTAATACCTTAGATATGAAAATGAGAGGGAATTAAATGAGGTGAAAAAGTGGCGATTCAAAATATATTTTTGCCCCCATAATTAAAGTGTCTAAATTAGAAAAATGAGGGTATTTTAGTCAAACAAAAAATTTACAATTAATGAGAGGAAATTGAATGAATCCAAAAAATAGTTCAAGTTACATTTTCTGCCTTACGGTTAGAGATAGATCAAATTTAAAAATATGGGTGTTTTAATTAGGAATAGGATTCAATGAAAGATAATGAGAGTCAATACCTTAGACTATGAGACTTAATGAGAGGAATTGAATGAGGTGAAAAGTAGTGATTCAAATCACATTTTTTGCCACACTCTTATTCCTTAGAGCTTGTTCGTTTTCTCTTAACTCTTACTTCTTGAGAAGAATCTTGCAACTTTAAGAGGAAATTTGTTGTTCATTTCCTCTTATCTCTTCTCTCTTGAAGTGGAATTTTATATTTTTTTTTGTTTTTCAATGATATCCCCAAAACACAAAACACTTTTCCCTCCTTACTCAAGGACCTCATATGCAATAAAAATAATTATTGATTAATAATAATTAAAAGTTAACTATTAATTAACTTTTAGTTAACTATTATAATAATAATAATTATTAGTTATAAATTATATTTTAATTAAATATTAAAATATTAATTAAATATTAGTTGTTAATTAGTTATTAACTATTATATTAATTAATAGTTAATAATTATTATAAATTATGAAATAATAATAATAATGAATATAATTAATTATTGATTAACACATTATTTATTAACGATTAATATTTTTATTAATTAATTATTTATAATTAATTAATTAATATTTTTATTGAATTACATAGACAAACAAAAAATCTTATGTATGGAATTAAAATAGACATTTGACAAATTTTAGAATCTAGAATTTAGAATTCAAAACAACATTCTTTGCATTCAGAGTTTAGAGAAAAGAAAAGTTCACTAATACCAATATACCAACATGGCGCAAGGGCCCTTAATGTAAGCTTAGGACTCATTAATTTGGACAAAGCCACATAAGGTTCTGTTGTATCGATCCAAACCCATTGGCAAGCTCTACCTATAAAAGGACAACCCAATGCATGAGGCTTTGGGCAAATAACATGAAAAATTTATATAACAAAATAAAATAAGAAAAGTTTATCTTCCCTTTTGAACCTTGGTCATGTGATTTATATAGCAAAATAAAAAAAAATTTAAAAATGACTGCAGATTGATTTTTAAAGCATTTTCACACCGAAATCAGCTCAAAAGGGAAGAAAAAAGACATGTTAACAAAGCATGTCTAAAGAGTGGGCAATCAAAGAACTGTTTTCAACTGGCGTTTCCGGTTGTTTCGGTCCGACCATCCGGTCTGTGTCGAGTCGAACAACATTGCGGATCCGGACGTCGCTCCATCCGGACGGATCCTATCGGAGCAAGACTTGTTTCTCTTCGCTGGAGCCAAAACCCTACTGAATAATTTCCATTTTCTAGTCACAGGAAACAGGGGAACAAGGGAAGAACGAAGAATTATTTCTGCGTGGTTAAGCCGCACTATCTTTTTGACTCAACAAGCAGCCTCTTACCAAAAACAAGCGGTCTCCAAGACCACCCACCGGAAAAATCAAATCCGTCTGAGGAACTCTCCATTTTACATCCATATTTGAGGGCGAGGAACTAAACTCTTGTCATCGTTTCTGTACTGGTTTCTTTGTCTGCAGAAAATGACGGAGATAATTCTAGCGTTTCCGGCAGATGCTCCGCCGCTTTCGGTCATTGCGGCGGCAAAGATTGGAGGGGTCTCTCTAAAGCTCGACTCGAGCCTTCCTACTGGATCGAAACCTAGTTTCCAATTCCCTTCTGGGTACAAATTCTTTGCCTATAATGGTTATGATTTATGCTTTTGTCATAGATTTTTTTTTTCAACTTTGAGTTGAAATGTGTGCAATTTGCATGTGATTTTTTTTGATCGGTAATTATTGATCTTTGTTAATTGTGTAAAATAGAGTATACATCTTAATGTTGATATTTTTTCATGATATATTGGCGGTTAGTGTTCTATCTTGCCCTGCTTGAGGAGTGCTGGATCTTTCTAAATTTGTATATTCGCATTTGGGAGATTTTGTTCGTCTCTTTAAGGATTCATTTCCTTAATGGTATTCTTGTTTAGGGATTTTGTTGGATGAAAGGGATTAGTGTTTTTTGTAGTATTTCCATTTCCATGGCTTAGAAAAGAAAAACCTTTGGGTTGGAATGCATTTATCATTTTTTGGGTCGTTGTTGTTGCCAATATGGATTATAGATTTGAATGTTGGTTGTTGTTCTTGTTGCTATTATGCCATGCAGTTTTCAAAACTTGGGATTTTGACTGGCGTGCTGGATCTGTTAGTTGTGAGTCAAAACCATGAAAAGAAATTATTTCATTAGGTTCTTTTAATACTTGAATGTAATGATACATGTTAAACAAAATACTGGAATGCAAGGGTTCATCCTCAAAATGGAGTTATAATGGAATGCTTATAAGGCCAATTTAAGATTTCAAGATATGGATTTATAGGTTTAGTTCTGAATTTTTACAAAAAATTTGAATATGAATCCATCTTAGATGATGAACTTATGCGTTAAAATGTTAAGAGGAACCAAATGAGATGATTTTGTTTCAAACAAATTCCAAATTTCTGTGAAGTCATCTCTTGGTGGATTGTTAAAATTAAGAAAGAAATTTGTGAAGAAGCTAGGGGATGGGTTTTTGAACATACAATGGTGTAGGAACCTTCTTTTTGGTTAGTATTGATCATTCTCAGGATCCACCTGACTAATTAAATAAAATCTTTTAGGGGGAGGGAGGGAGGGAGGGAGGAAAAAAATCTTGTGTCTAACTTCATCATGGATTTCTTTCATGTGGCGAATAAAGAAAAAAATCAGAAAAATAAAGAAAACATTGAAAATGATGATGATGATCTGGCAGAGCCCCTGTTCTTGTTTCAGGGAAAAGATAAGAAAACAAAAGCATCAAATGAAGAAGGAGAAGGGGTGTAACCCCTGGTTTTGTTCTAGAAAAGGAAGGAAAACAATAAAAAATTTAAGAAGCGGTGAGGGCTATTTCCTATCTTAGAAAAAGAAGGTTCTGATGAGTGATGGCAAGAAGGAGGAGGAGGAGAAGGTGCTGACGGAGGAACATACCTGCGATCAATTTGTTGTTTACAAGATGAAGTCATTGTCCCATCGATTCTGGTTGCTCTAGGTGTTCCTTCAAGTCTTCGAACTCTTTGAACTCTTCGAACTACTTTGTATCATTCGAACCCTTACAATACAACAATCTAACAAATTCACATCGGTTTATGAAGTGAGAATAAAGAATGCTATGGTGTATCACCATCTATTTTAATATTTTTAGCTCAGTATAAAAATATAAAAATATTATAAAATAATGTAAAGTATAATACAAAAACTAGTTGGCGTTTGGGCAAGGCGAGCAGTAAAAAGTGCTTAGTCGCCTAGGCAACTATGCAGTTGACCTGTTAACTGAACTATTATAAGCAAATTCCGCCATAGGTAGGATGAGATCCCATCTAGAAGTATGGTCACCAACTAAGCAATGTAGCAAATCATTGATGCTCCTATTAACTACCTCAATTTGTCCATTGGTTTGAGGATGGAAAGAAGATGAGAACTTCAGTTTTGTATTGAGGAGTTTCCAAAGTGTCTTCCAAAAATAACTCATAACCTTAGCATCACGACCAGAAACAATAGTAGCAGGAACACCATGTAAACGAACAATTTCTCTAAAGAATAGGTTTGCCACATGTGAGGTATCTGATGTCTTACTGCAAGGTATGAAGTGGACTATTTTTGAGAACTTGTCTACCATAGTTTTCAAGGCGCCAAGGTGAGGCTAGGCGACAGGGGGGCACCTCCTACTGCTCACTTGCTGCAAGCTCTTTTCTATTTTAAAAGCCATCTGAAAAGCATCATGTACATTATAAACTGGTGCAGTCATCATTTTTGCTTCTCACTTTCTATAGACTGACATCTAATAGTAAGCTTATCAAACTTTTGCATGTACTCAGACACAAATAAACTGCCTTGCCTCAATGTCAATCATCTCATCATGAAGAGCATCTTGGAAGTCATTTGGCAAATATTTCTCCTCCAAGTAGTGCTTCATATCTTTTTCTTTTTGATCAATAACTCGCAGATTTCATTAGAAGTAGAGAGGAAAAAAAACAGGTACAGGAAGAGGGAGATAAACTCTCTTATCTCACCTAACCATAATAACAAGACAAGAGAAAAATTACAAGATAGCCCAGAACAAAGAGTCTCTAGATGCTCCTTGTTTGGATAACCCATCAGGAAAAGAGTTAGCACTTTTTTTAACCCAACTCATATTCACCTCAATATTCTTGGTTAACCAATTAAATTTCCTCTTCTCATTGCTGTAGTTCCAAAAATTAGCAGTATCATTCTCAGCCAATCCACTACCAGTTTAGAATCACCTTCTATGACCATTTGGTGATGTTCAGTTCAATTTCCCTTTGAGTTCCTTCGATAACAGCTGAAATCTCAGTTCTAAGAGAATCACCCATTCCAATTGGCTCCCAAAACAGAGCAATTATCACTCCCTCCTCATTTCTTAAGACACCCCTAGTACCTGATGGACCCGGATTACCTATGCTACTTCCATCAAAATTAAGTTTGATAAAACCACTAGGAGGAGGAGGAGGAGGAGTCCAAGAGGGTAGGGATGCATCTTTAATCGGAGCTGAACTGGCAATTTCCTTCCAATTTCTGAGCATATAATTTGCTAAAAAGTCTTTAAAAAGAGCCAAAGACTTCAGCCAATATATCACTCTGATCTGAATCGGCTCCAGAATTTCTGGCAGTCTTCTTTCCCTATCTGAGAAAATTCTCCCGTTTCTTTCTTCCCAAAATAGTTCAGCAAACAGCAGCCCTGAGACATCTCCACATGACTCTTCATTCTTTTTTTCGATCAGCTGAACAAGGATGGAGCAAAAAGTCTCTGTACATCTGGTGGAGGAGATCATTTGCATCCAAACAAAGACGAACACCACTCCCAAATGTGATTAGTAACAGAGCAGGAAATCAGTAAATGTCAACCAGTCTCACCTTCAGCCTTGCAAAGGTGATAGGATGCTTACCCATATCCTGTAATCTCTTCTCCACACTCCTCCACCATACTTTTGCATGGTCTACAAGTTTAAGTTTAGCAAACCTAATTTTTCTCTTATCTGACATATCAAACCAATCAAAGTATTCCTCTAGTTCTGCCAACCAATTGGAGAAAGCTCATGGATTGATATCACCTATAAAACTAGGAACTTCTATCTTCACTTTACTAGTAATATCATCCCGATAGTTCTGCCAACCAGTTCGAGACCTTAGGGCCTTGATGGCGGTCCTTAGTGGGTGGTTCACATGTTGACCAGCAAGGCTATTGGTGTTAGAACCCTCTGCTTCAGCTCCTCCATGTGGAATACCAGTGCTGTTTTTCTCTTCTTGGTCTTCCATCAACACTTTGACTTGAGCTTCTAGGGTGTCTACTTGATCAATAAGTGCAAGCAACTCTTCTTTAGCTTGTTCACTTAATCTTCCTCCCACGTTTCTCCCATGGTAACGAGCCATTTGAAACCTGATGCTCTAATACCAAACTGATGCAGTAGGGCTGGAACAAACTATCACAAGAGAGAGAGAGAGAATCACTCCAAGGGTCCTATAATCACTCTAGGGTTTGTAGGAATCACTCCATACAGGAAACTTGCAAGAGAGTTCTAAAGATATCTTCATTTGCTTCAAAAGGAAGAGAATACATCTATCTATTTATAGGGTAACTTGTGTGGCCAATACTGTTCACCATAATTACAAAAAAAAGCCATTCCTTGTCTTGTGCATCAAGAAACATAATAATTTTCTACCTACTAATGCACATAAACTGAAAATCGACAGAGAAGCACTACCAAGCTAGAGGAACAAGATGCTATAGTCCAAGCCCACATGGGACTGTTCAAAATGACGAAAATACCCCTGACCAGGTCAGTCCAAGTCCCAAGATCTTCCCCATGCCAAATCAGATTTGTTGGCCTTCTTTTACGAGAATAGGTCTTATAGTGCCTGGACCGATCCCCATCACTCAACTATTTCGCTTGACTTTTGTATCATTAAAAAGCTTATTCAATTATTTATCTATGAATTGAGCATGTTATGACTGGTTTAGGTGCATCCAACTCCGTGACGGGATTGCTATTCTTTCTGGTTGTTTTAAGTTTTGACTTAGAGTTCCAGTAGTCTTTGGTATTTATCTTGGTAGATTTCAAAAGTGGTTTCGTTGTTAGATATTTGTATTAAACTTGTAACGTTTAAAAAATTCAATCTTTAGAAGGTTTTCTAGGAGTTCTAGTCAGCTTTGAAGGCAGTCCAGCTATAGGCATGAATTAGGGTATAATTAGGAGTAGGGGTCTAAGGAAATAAGTCTATATTAAGTCCATACTGTTGCTGTAAAAGAGGAAGAGGAGAAATGAAATAAAATTTTGGTTTTAGCTTATTTTTCATTGGTGTTGATGCCAAATTTTCTTGATAGTGCTGATTTTTCAAGAAACTATTAGCATTTGAATCATATCTTTGTTTTTGTAGAATGATCACCTTAACAAGTGGATTTTGTAGAATTCATATAGTTTTTTTTTTCCATTATATCCTGTTTTCATTTGTCTTTTAGCATTTGAATCACTTGAAGTGGGGTTGTTTTTCATTGACCATGTTTAAAAGCAGCAATCTGTTTTTGATGCTTTATCCTATTTAAGATATTAGATAAGGTTCTTGTATTATTTTAGCTCGGCCTAGTAGAATCCAACTAGTGAAAATTGAACTGGACAGCTTACACTTGGTCTGGTTCAGTTTTGAGTTGATTGCTCTGCGCTTAACATTGATCTTGATTGCCTTAAATCCTACCCACTTGGGTTACGGAATATGACTACTTTTTCTTTTATAAAAGAGAAGAAGAAAGGTGTGTACCTCACCTTGTGCCTCGTGCCTTGGGTGCAAATTGGCCCCTGCACCTTGTGCTTTTAAAACATTGAATATTACTGGAATATTTCTTGACATTCCCTTGTTTTCAGTAGATACTGTCAATATACTTTACCTTTTTCAACAAAAAAAATCTTATATTGTGTTCAGTAGATTCTACTTTGTTAATTGTGTGATCAACATGATATTTTCAATTTATATGTACATGTATGCCATCCAAATAAGAGAAAATTTTCATTAAGATAAAAAATATTAAATATTAGTTACAAAGGAATACCACAGAGAGGGATAAGCTCTCTCAACTCCCTCTGTGATGAAAACTGATTATTCTAGCTACAACACAGCCCAGAAAGTTTGATCCGTTCCCACCCCTTGTTTCGCTAAAGCATCAGCAAAGGAATTTGCACTTCTTTTTACCAACTACAACTTCTATGCTTTGTGTAACTCACTTGGATTGATGGATTCCCGGAAGTTCTGGATTTTACTTTTATGGGTTCTCAAGAATTCTCTAAGTTCCAGAGTCCAGACACATGAATATTGGCTTGTTCACAGTCTATAAACAATTGTATTTCTGTTAGAAACTATTTGGATTCTCAGAAGTTATGGGTTTTGCTTTTGTTCTCAACAATCATCTATGTTCTAGACACATGAATGTTGGCTTATTCATTTAGAGTAGTCAAAGTAGTACGGAAAGGATGCTGATACTCCTATTTTAACTATTTGTTGGTGAAAACCTGTTTTACAGAGTGAAGTTGGATGGCACCAATGTGCTTTTACGCTATCTTGGTCGGGTAGCAATAGTTCCCCACTTCTATGGGCAGGATCCACTAGAATCAGGCCAGGTTTTTTTTGCTATATGTGCCAAACACGACATACATTTTGAGTTTTCTACTATCTTCAACTTCTATTTCCCACTCAATGAAAACTGCTGCTAATTTTTGTTTCTTTATTTTTTCAACAATTGTCCTCAGATTGATCAATGGTTGGAATATGCTTCCATCTTCTCATCAGGCTCTGAATTTGAGAGTGCCTGCAGTTATGTTGATGGCTATCTTTTACTGAGGACTTTTGTAGTTGGTACTGGCCTGTCAATTGCAGACATAGCGATCTGGTCAGGTCTTGCAGGTAAAAGCTTGTGCTTAGTATATCTATTTAATATCACCTTGGTCCTATTTCCTGCATTAACGAGCTACCCTCCCCTCCCCAACTAGTTTGTCAAATCCTTGATCCATCATCTGAAACTCAATTCACATCCACCTTTTTTATGAAGTTCAAAACTTGGAATTTGATCTATCTAATAATCTAGATCAGATCTAGATTTTCTCAATCAGACATCATTTGCATCCTTGTCTAATTGGAACCACAATACTACACCTGCATGGAATTTGCGTTCCTCATATTCTAAGATAAATTCAGTCAAATAATCAGAACTATTCACTATATGGAAGTCCTTTTGATTGTCATAAAGTAGGTAAAAGCAACTAGAAAGAGCAGTTCATAGAGGGATTTCCCTGTCCTGGAGGAATCCCTCCTAGACCCCTCCAAATATGTTTCACTGCCATTCTTTTGGTGGAGGTTCTTTCCCATGGACCTGAGCTTAGATATTTGTTGTGTTTTATTATTAGTGTCACTTTCTTACTTTGTGGTTCACAGGCAGTGGCCAAAGATGGGAAAGTTTAAGGAAGTCAAAGAAATATCAAAATCTAGTCCGCTGGTTCAATTCAATAGTAACAGAATATGATGTTTTGAACGAAGTCACAGCAACCTATGTTGGCAAAAGAGGGTTAGGCAAGGTAACAGCATCCAAAACAAAGGAAAGAGAACAGATTGTCAATCAATCATCAAGCATGAATGGGGAAGTCACTGAGAAGGGAAAAGGTGGCAGCAGACCTGAAGTAGACCTTCCTGATGCCAAAATTGGAGAGGTGTGCTTACGCTTTGCACCAGAGCCTAGTGGATATCTTCACATTGGGCACTCAAAAGCTGCACTCATGAACCAGTATTTTGCCCAAAAATACCAAGGCCGGTTTATTGTTCGCTTTGATGACACAAATCCTGCTAAAGAGAGCAATGAGTTTGTGGAAAACCTACTAAAAGATATTGAGACTCTCGGTATCAAGTATGAAAAGGTAACGTATACTTCAGACTATTTTCCCCAGTTGATGGAAATGGCTGAAAAGTTGATACTTAAAGGGAAGGCGTATGTTGATGATACACCAAGAGAGCAGATGCAGAAAGAAAGGATGGATGGAGTTGAATCCAAATGCCGGAGCAATAGTCCTGAGAAGAACACGGAATTATGGAAGGAAATGATTGCAGGGTCTGAAAGGGGATTGCAATGTTGTCTCCGTGGCAAGTTGGACATGCAGGACCCTAACAAGTCACTTCGAGATCCAGTCTATTATCGTTGCAACCCAGTTCCTCATCATCGCATTGGGTCTAAGTATAAGATATATCCAACATATGACTTTGCATGCCCATTTGTTGATTCTATTGAAGGTATTACACATGCTCTTAGGTCTAGTGAGTACCATGATCGGAATGCACAGTATTACAGAATTCTTGAGGATATGGGACTGCGCAAAGTCCAAATTTATGAATTTAGCCGGCTGAATATGGTATATACACTTCTTAGCAAACGTAAGCTTCTGTGGTTTGTTCAGAATGGAAAAGTTGATGGATGGGATGATCCTCGTTTCCCCACTGTGCAAGGAATAGTACGTAGGGGTTTGAAGATTGAGGCCTTGATACAATTCATTCTTGAACAGGTAAGTTATTTTAGTTAAATGCCTACAATTTGGTGATATTTTCATACTGTGTAAAAATTAAAATTTCAACCTAGACTCTGTGTTGAGTATATACAACAATTTGGGAGTGCATATATATAGCCATAAAATGAATAGAAGTTAATGATTTTGCTTTTCCAATAAGAAGCAGTAATTGGAATTTTATTGGGTAGGTAAAAGAAAACCCCAACTGTCAGCTAAGGAATCTGCAACTTCATTTTCCTACCTTGGGATCCAGCTGAACGAGGAGCTCATGTTGAGCCCTGTCTTACCTTCTCCAATTAGTTGTCTTAGCTTCACAAAAATATTTAATAAATAATTTACCAATTATTAATTAACCAAGCTTAGACATATTGCCCTTAAGAAGAGTTAAAATCTCATAGAAGAGTGCCTGAATGAGTTATTCCTAGGGAAAATATGCCATGGACATTATAATAGTAATTATGTTGACATGGGAACCAATTCACACCCCTCAAGCATAGTTTTCAAGGCGCCAAGGCGAGGCTAGGCGACAGGGGGGCACCTTGTCGCCTAGTTGCACCTAGGCGATGGATTTTTTAAGTAAAAAACATGTATCCTATGGTAGTTCCCTAGGTTCCATAATCATATTTCCTTAATAAATATCCATAATTTTCATAAGAAAAGTATAAACTTCATGTTAAAGTGTTGATTGGACAACACACAAAATTAGTAAAGAAAAATAAGAAAATGTGTTGATTGGACAACATTTTATGTTCTTTCTTATTAGTTCAGTTTTGAAGTCTTTGAGGGTTCAATACAGCATTTAACAATGTTTGTGTTGATTGAACCCTAACAAATAAGAAAATAATAAAAGGAAATTAGTATATAAACACACAAAATGAATATTTTAGTTTAAAAATGTCTATTTTATAATTATAACCTCAAAAAATTAAGAATATAAAAGTTTTTTATAACATGCTATAGAAAACTACTTGGCGATTAGGCGAGCCGAGCCTCCAAGGGTGCCTTGTCGAATAGGCGCCCGCCTAGGCATTGCCTTGACAACTATGCCCTCAAAGGAGTTATTTGAGGCCTTTTTGTATGTTGGAGGAAGTTATTAATCCATTGCCACACTATGCAATTATCTGGGATGCATTTGCAGTGGTGATGCCCCACAAAGCTATAAGATCAAGATTAACCTGATTCCTTTTTTTGCTTTTTTTTTGAGAAAAAGGTAACTTTATTCTAAAGAAACAAAGAGTACATTAGAAGATGTACAAGAAGAGGCTAGAGATTCTAAGAGTTATACAGGAGGAGAACTATCACTAAAAAGGTAAACCCTGTGAACACCAGCCTTCGCTAGGCCATCAGCTACAGAGTTTACCTGATTCCTTGTCATCTAATATTTATTTGACTTTTTCTGGATTTTCTTTTGCATTACTTTCTGATTCTTAACTAATCCATGAAATGTTCCATTAATATATCAGAAATAAGTTTAAAGAAAATACATAGTTTACTCTTAAGAGTAACAATGGGCCCCTTGTATTTCTTGACCATTCATAAGAGTCTGTTATGTGATTAATTATCAAAAAAAAGTGTGATAAATGATTATGATTGCTGGTTTGTATATATTATTATCTGTATCAACTACATATAGGTGCTGGCTATTCAATTGTTGGCATGTTTTCTGCATGGATACATGCACGATGATGCTTATAATATATTTCATCAAGCTTAGTTTAATTATTTGATAAAGAAAAAAAAATCATCTGATATACTTGATTTTGTTATCTGCCTGAAGATTAATATCTGCTTTGTTTCCCAGGGGGCATCTAAAAATTTGAATCTTATGGAATGGGACAAATTGTGGACCATTAACAAAAAGATTATCGATCCTGTATGTCCTAGGCACACTGCGGTTCTTGATGAAGGGCGTGTTCTTTTGACCCTAACTGATGGTCCTGAGAAGCCTTTTGTTCGTATCATTCCAAAGCATAAAAAATTTGAAGGTGCAGGACTAAAAGCTACTACATACACAAAGAGGATATGGATAGATAATGTTGATGCAGCCTCTGTATCTGTGAATGAAGAGATTACTTTAATGGATTGGGGAAATGCAATAGTAAAGGATATCATAAGGGACCAGGATGGAAATGTCGTAGAGCTGAGGGGAGTATTGCACCTTGAAGGTTCTGTTAAGACCACAAAGTTGAAGCTTACATGGCTTCCTGAAACTGATGAATTGGTTAATCTCTCACTGGTCGAGTACGACTACCTGATTACAAAGAAGAAGGTATGCCAATTAACTGACAACTCATGAACAAAATCACATATACAAGCATTTGCAAATTTGCCTAGTTGCTTTCCTCAAATATGAAATCTTGGGAGTGGTGTGTCTCTGGAGAAAATCATATTCTTGTCTAACCAGTCAAAAAAGAATATCATATCCTTGTCCATTTTAGAGTCAAAATAATCTTCCAATTGACATCAGAACAAGGACAAAAAACCCACAACTCCACTCTTCTTTCAGGGAATGCCACTAGTAAAATTGTTGCAAAATCCAGTCTTTTATGCTCTTTCTTCCCCCCTCCTTTGTTTCCAATGAAGAAACTCATAACGTCTTTTTTCTCCTTTAATGAGATTGTTTTCTTTAATGTATGCTGCAGCTGGAAGAAGGGGAAGATTTCCTAGACGTTCTTAATCCATGCACAAAGAAGGAGACTGCAGCTCTTGGGGACTCCAACATGCGAAATTTGAAGTGTGGAGAAATAATACAGTTGGAGAGGAAGGGCTATTTCAGATGTGATGTTCCTTTCTTGAGGTCTTCAAAACCCATAGTTCTGATTGCAATCCCTGATGGTAGACAGCAGACAACATTGCGGTGAAGCCATAGTAAAAGTGAGCTTTTACTTTGCATTAGGAATTTCTCTAGTATGGGTGATAGATTGTTTAGGAATGCAATATGGTTAATTTTGTGTTTCCTTAGTGACTGTTTATTTGAATTGAAGCCAGTGGTTGCTTTGACCCTCTCGTACTAATTAATAACTAGAACTCATTATGTTTTAATTTGTAAATTAACAAAAGAATACATTTACTTGAATTTGGTCTTTATCTGTTCTGGTTAAATCAATATGCTTATGTCATCTAAATATGTAATCTATTTATAGATATTTTTAAACCATTTATATTCTCATTTATATTTATGTTTCTATCTATGCAAAGAAACATATATGGTTGGCGAAACAGGATTCATGTAGCCGATCGTAGATTGTTGAGATAAGGGTCTATGCAAAGAAAATGAGGTCTCATGAAGATTAGCCCTCATCCTTCAAGGTTTACCCCTGGTCCTTGTGCATCTAGAGGACCTAGTATGTTGCCTTTAGTCCTTGCCTTAAACACTGATGGTAATTATGATTTGCTTCAAATACTGGCCAATTTAGCAACCATGCAGACATCTCGGCATGATTTCTCATCTGATACCTTGTTAACCATTGATAGTGTCCAACGAGGCCAACCCAGCAAAAGACAGCTTTAAGTAATTTCATTCTCTGGAACTCTTGAATTCTTTACTGGTGCTTACTTTAACTCTTAGTAGATATTCTTATAAACGTATGCAAGTTTACAATTGAAAATTTTCCCGGTTTCTGAAGCTACCCACCCTTGCAAGAAATGTATTTCCATGTGTTTCTTTTGTGATTTTCCAATTTCTATCTGGTCCACAATTTATCTCTATTTGCTTTATATTCTTTTTGTTTCTTAATGGCTTTTGTCTCTAAGCCTTTGATACATCTGTGAACCATTCTCAGATGGCATAGCTTTAGGATAGGGAAATGGCTGACAAGTCATTGCAATTCCTTTCTTCCAGACATATTTGGCACTCATCTGACCAACCAGAATTATAAAAACTATTTTCTGGGCATTTGCACACCCCAGAGTTGGCATTCCTTTCTTCCAGACACATTCAGCACTCATCTGACCACCCAGAATTATTAAAACTGTTTTCTGGATATCCAAGGTCTGTCTCCTGTCAAAATCTCTCCTCTAGCTAAAAGGGCCATTATACAATGTTGGTTCCAGTTATCCAAGGTCTTGGGAACGATGGACTGGATACAGACCAACATTTACATATTTTATTTTGCATGAAGTGGCTGGTCTTAGGCCCATGTCATCACACTTGTCTGAATTTTTACCATTGCACCAAACAATAAATACCCTATATATGTGTATAAAATGGAGTTTAGTTTGCTTCCCTGAATGACCTAGGGATCTTACATATGGAAATTGAAGTCCCTGAATTCCTCTCTCCATCCTCTCTTCATGGAAAAATTTGACCTAGATACCTTGCCACCTGTTTAAAATAAGCCCTCTTTTTTAGTAACTTTGAATGATTAATTTAGTTGTGAATACCATCAATGCAATACAAAATGGTCTTGGGTCATCAAATGTTTAATGATTCTATCTTGAACTTCAGAGGTTAACTCATCGTGACCTCTAATATCAGTGGAATTGATCTGCTAGACTTGTACCCAAAATGGAGAACACAGTAGATTTGGAGTGAAAGAAATGCATGAATTGACCCAAGGCTGACAATACAGAGATTGCTTTGAGAAAAGCAGTAGGCATGTTTCACTCATAGACTTACTTTAAAGGGTTCAGGGGTCTTATTACCCATCCATCATATTTTGTTGAGGACCCCTAATATACACAGCATCAATGGACTTCTCTATGTACATGTGTGGGTGGTGTCCATGGAGATCCACTGTTGGTTTTACAAGGGAATCTTTGTATATATTAATACTTTATTAATTAAAGAAAGTTACCATTTCCAATCAAAAGAAAGATAGTTTTCGGAAAAGCAGTAGACATGGTTTGAACATAATGATAGAATCAATCCAGGAACGTAATTTTCTGATAGAGAAACTGGGCACAGGTTTCACTTCAAAGAGAGGACACTAGAGAGACTCTTTGAGTTTTTGGTTCTGATTACATGTTGAGGGGTTAGAGAGTGAAAACAGAATTATTCCCAAATCTATCCTATAGGGCATGGAATTCTATAGGTGAGAAAAGCTGGTATCTTTGATGAAATGAAAATCTCAGTTGAATTGGTTTATTTTTTTTTTCATCGGTGAAGTAACAATTCCTAAAATTGTCATGCCAAACATCTGAGTTCCTATTTCGAGAGTCACCTGCATGTATTGTTTCAGTCCCCTTTCTTTGTTTTCTCTAGAGTTGAAACCATTGAACTGACTTCAAGCTCAACTTTTGAACACTGGCAAGCAACAGTGTTCCCAATGGCTGCTGGGTTTCCATTGCCCCCGCTTGGTTGAGTCAGATTTGTTCCTCTTGTTAGGTCTATTGATGTCTCCAGTCCTAAATTTTCTCCTTTCTTTGTATTACGTTTTGACTCTGTTTCCGAGTATGGTTTAACGGAATGAATTTCTTTTTCACCAAAAAAAAAAGTTTCTTTTGTTATTGTGAAACTTAAGAGTTGCTATAACTAGGATTTGACCATGATACCGGAAAGATGTGATACTGGAAAAACTTGTACCAACCAGTCACTACAGGCTGTTTTTCTTTTTTCTTTTTTTTTTTCAAAAAACCATCCTGTAGCTTTAAAGTGGTAAGCAATCCGGATTGAATGTGTTAATTGGGAAAATTACTACTAGGTTGGCAACCAAGAGAGGGGGAGGGGGATGTTTCTGTGGATTTTCCTTGGCTGAAAACTTTTTAATTTTTAGGTCCACATTTTAACCCAACTGTGTAGAATTATTCTTCTTGACTTATCCACCCTTAGCTTATCCCCTGGTCAAACAATCTCCCAAAAAACATCATCATCATCATCATGTTGTTTTCGTTTAATTAGGGGAGGATAAACTCAGGGTGGATAAGTCAAGAAGAAAATTTTAAGCCATCATCATCGTTATTATTATTGTTATTATAATTATAATTACAATTATAATTTGCCAAAATTAATGTGTTTGTCTGCTCCTCCACTTACCTTGATACGTGTCTCATCTCTCTCAAGAAAGAGACATGGGGTGAAAACCCATTGGCAGTATGAAATTATAGGAAGGGGAAATGTCAAAGAAAAAGGATTCAAAACAAAAATTTCCTGATTTTCTCTGTTGTTGCTTCTTCCCCTGCAAAACGCTGTTGTTGCCTGATGTATCTCCCAATTTTTCTCAGCGGAGTTTAGGCTATCCACCAATTCCTCAAAGATGCCTAATTCAGCACATATGTTTACAATGGCGTAAGCCATTTATTATTGCCAGTACATGGCTGGATGTTTCAGGTATATGTATCTTTTCAACAACGTATTTAAAGATACTCCTTTTACTCTTTATCTCCATGAAGCCATTACACTTCATAAAGCATATTGCTAACATCAAGATTCAGGGTTCCAAAAATTTTGCACAGATAAATGTAATTTTGTTTCCTTCCATAGAACTCCAAACCTTCTCATAGACATTCCTGCCACTTCATATGAACTATGCAGATAAGAATTTTTAAGTTTTTGGATTCTGAATTTGAGAATAGTATGCAGCTGTGCCTTTAGCTTCACATGACACCGTTGAACCTTCTAGTTGTATGTTACTCGTTAGGCATTGGATGCCAGTACCATAACAGCCAAGTCAAGAAGGGCAGAAAGACCTGATTTAAGTAATGCTTTTCATGTAATTGAAATTTGTTAAACAAGAAATTGAAGGAAAATGAGGACGAGTTGTGCACTTGTGCTGCTTTTTGAGTTCTTTCTCTTTCAGATGTTCTTTTCTAGAGAAAAAAGCTTTTGCTCCTCTGCCGAGCTTTTGTAGTCAGTGGGGAGTAAAATTTAAACGAAATGGTAGAAAATGATGCGAGGGCCTTGTTTTTAAATGGAGGATAAATTGGAAGGTAGTTTTCTCAAGGCAACAACTTACGTGGGTTTTTTTTTTTTTTTTTTTTTTAATTTTTTAATCAAGGAAATGTCTGCAAATATTTCAGGTTAGTTTTACAACCCCTGATTAGTTCTTTGTTCACAATCCTTTTGATAGCAAACCAATCTCCTGGTGACTTTCCAGCTGATTTATTTCATACTTAAAGTAATTATAATTCCTTGTTTGGAAAAAGATAGTAAAGAACCAAAATTTCCCAATCCAATCATCGAAAACTTCTACCGCTAATAAGCTATTTTAAGTCAGCTCAATTATCTTGAGAAATAAAAAAAACACCATGATTAAGTAGACTGGGATGCTGGGATGTTTAAGGAGTCCTTTGGGGGTGCAGCAACATCAATTCAAAAATCGGCTGGGCTTGGTCATTCTGATCTTATCGTTTGAACGTTTTAAAAATGACACAGAAGTCAAACTACTTTTCCATCTGGATTATGTGTTGCGGTTCAATTGTCTGGGTCAAATGGGCCATCCTGTAGCATCATAGAACAAAGATATAAAAAATAAATAATAATGTAAAAAAATAAAGAAAATTACATAAAATTTGCATAAAAAGTATTCTTCTAATATTATATATTTAATTATTTATCAGGTTAGAGATTGTATTTGAGCTTTTTCTTAATCAATTGCCTTGTAAATAAAGAAAGAAAGAAGGAAAGAAAGAAATGAATGAATGAATGTATGAATGAAAAGTTGCCTTAAAACGCTTTCTTATAACTCAGCGCCATTAAATGCCAAAGAGTAAAAATTCACCCATAAATATGAAAACATCATTTTTTGTGTGTGTGTTTTTTTTCTTGATAAATGGGACATTTTTATGTTAAATGCCTACTTGGCGTTAGGTTGGCATCGTTGCTCTGAAAAACGCCATTGATACCAAACACCATCTTAGTCAAACTATTGGAGAAGAATTCTATTCTGACTCCCAGGATCTTTTTTATGTTACACTAATTTTATTCAGGAGGTGTTCTCCTTTGTGAATTGTTTTCTCCGTTGTGAGTTACAGAAATAAATCAGAACTTTGTGGTTTGAACACAAATTGGTTCTTAAAAGAAAAATGCAGAAAATATGTTCTTGGTTGTATGTGTTTTTTTTTTTTTTTTAAATATCAAAACTAAAAATTTGTTCTTGAATTTCTGGTTTGAATCTGATGATTGATATCATGTTAGATCATTTCAAATTTGTACTCCAAAATTTGTTTTTATTTTAGAAAATATTGTTTTAATAGTTTCAAAAACATGGATTGTTATTTGAAACAAAACCAACTTGTTTTTTCTTCTCAAAGTAAAATTTAGAATCATAGTGCAGGAACTTGTTTCAAATCAATTCTTTGCTGATGTGGTAATTTTAAAAACAAAATGAAAACAAAAACATTCATGTTGTTCACCCTCTCAGTTTACATTGAGTTTTATAGAAGTCTCAGTTCTTTTTCCTTTCCATTTGAGTTCCTTTTCCTTCGCTCTCACTTTGGGAGCTCATTGACTTTTGATAGGGCTGATAATTAAAGCATTTTATAATATCAAAGATTTATTCAACAGCTATAATCATATTCAAACAAACAAAACAACTCAAGAATATAAAATTAGGAAGATGTTCTGTCTTCTGTGTATGAAATTGAAGGAAAGCAAGATTTTAATTTTCCTGTTACAAGTGTTCCATACATTCAAAATAAATACAGATTTCTGGTTTACAAGTGTTTCATACATTGTTTTATGTGATGCACCTATATAGATTTCTGGTTTGCTTGTTGAAGATCCCTGACCCATATGTAGAAACAATCATGTCAATAAACAGTGGAAACTGCAGTAAGGCAAACAAGGTGACAGGGACACTAGCCAAAAGAGTAATGGGAATAGTGAGCCATACAATTCTGTGGCAAAGTATAATAAAGATGGTTGCTCCAAAGGCTACCATCATGGCCACTATGGAGACAAAGAGGAAGAATAGTCCAATGATTAACTTTTGTGGCAAGAACTTGAGAAAATCATCTTCTGCATAGCGTGAAGTTAAGATGGCTAAGAACATGAGGACTGAAGTGGAGGAAGAGAAAAGTGCTAATGCATCTGATATGGAGAAAACCATGAAGGAATTGGTTTCTAGGAAGATGGGAATCCCTGTGTTACTGTTATTTCCCCCTGGGACAGTGAAGGCTGCTGCAAACATAACAGTGGCTATGAGTGTCGCCACAACCATACATGATGTTGCAGTGTCTTTCATCCATTTCTCCCCTTCTTTAACCAGCTCCTTGTGCTGCTCGCTGAATAATACGCGGGGTGTTTTACCTTGGAAGTTCTTGAGCTCTGTACATCGTGGCTGTACAATTGCTTCAACTTCCTGTGGTGAGAAAAACTAAGCATCAGGAAACAATTATGCAGTGAATAGAAGGATCAAAACATACAACCTGATTCTGCCTTAATCCCAACTATTTAAGCTCGGTTACATGAATTCTGTCTCAACATTGTTCTCAATCAAGACCTTGTTTTAAGCTTTTAGTGTCTATTTCTAAATTTTAGTGATTTTGCTTGTCAAAAGCACCCAGTCTTTGCTATGTCGTTCCTTTCAAGTTTCAAAACTATGGGATTAATTCTCTTCAAGCAAAAACTCTGCACACACTTTGCAAACATGGAATCCAGCCGCTCCATTCATGGGGAGGTATTCCCAATGTGCAGCTGTATTCTATGTGCACAGAGTTTTTGCTTGCAGGCTCCCTTTCAAATGATTCTTTAGAATCTGGTCAAAATGACATATAGTGGAACCTCCTCAGTGGCATTTAGAACACATTTGGGAGGGCTTCAGCTTTGATTGAACTTTGTTGACTGAGCCACTTTAAATTTGAAGAAGTTACTAAAATAGCTTCATTGAAAAGTCAATTTTATAACTGAATGAATCATATTGGGGCTTACTGGTTTTTTTTTACCAAACATAGCTTCTAGGCTTTTCGTGTAGGGCCCACCTTGCAAAGCTAGAAGCTTTTGCGTGAAAGCCCTCCCAAACGTTGAGCTAAAGCAGCTGAATGCCTCAACCAAAGCTTAAGCCCTTCCAACCAAGGTCTTGATGGAAATGGTAAAGCAGCCTAACAGGTGCCCAATGCCAAAGGTCATGCATTTATTAAACACTTCTGGTTTTAACTTTTTAATGCCTTTTAACTTGTAAATTCTAATAAGTGAAAAGCCAAGGCTAAGCCAATCTACAATGGATGTGTCATAGGATAGTGTTTCAGCAGAAGATACTTATCTCTACTATGGAGAAAGAATTAGCACCTTGAACCACTGTAGTTCACGTTGCATTTGTAGAGCTGGACCAGAAACTTCATTGAGTCGATGAGGAGGTGCCAACAATCCAGCTACATGCAGCAAGCTGTTTCCTTCTTCATCCACATAACTTGCTAGCTCATTCCTCTGTCCTCCTAGCTCATAGATGAGGTTGAAAATCTTTTCTTGGCGGTATAGTATTGCTACTTCAAATATGTTTCGATCATGTTCATCAGTGCTCCAGATTAGATGAGGGCATATACTAATAATCTCTATAATAAATTCAACAATTCCGAATTGGGTGGCTCGGAATATTGCAGCCATCACCCCATTCTCTACAATTGGTGGGTAGTCAAGCGTGGAGACTTGATCACAGAAGTGTTTCAGCAGTTCAACTGCTTGGAGATGGATCAATTTTCCATCGTATAAATGCCTCATGAATGGGACTGTAGATGGAACGAAGTCATCAGGACAACACTTTGCAATCTCTAAGGATGAATGTAACTGACAAGGTACTAATTGCAAGCTTCATACCTAATCTCTTGAACGCATTTCCAATCAGTCCAGGAGATTTTCCAAGCACTGCAAAAGCAAACTATACACGTTATGAGCATGAGTGATCAATTCGAAGTTTACAGTTTTATTACTTTCATGTTTTTATACTTTAGTTTCAGAGAGAGAGAACCTCTATATGCCATGGAAAGATTTTCAATGTCAACTTTGATGAAACAAGCTCCACTACTTGGTTCCAAACGGATATCTTCAAAATATGATAACAGTATCAATTACAAACCATTAACCACTATAACAAAATGGTACCCATTAAAGGATTAATTGGGACGCATTTTGTTGGTAGGAAATCCCAACTCTTGTGAAAGAGTACAGACAATGTTTTGGTAAAAGATAGTATGGGAATCTTTCCTTTATCTAATTAGGGATTTAGGGGTGGATGAGAGAATGATCTATATTTTGAGATATTAGGTCCATAATTTTGTTAAAAAGCTCCTTCAACATATTGTCAAATGATAGATGTTTTGATTAATTTCAGAATCAATAGAAAAGATGGAAATGAACAAATGAGTAAAATTTTCCACCGTTGAAATAGTTAAAAACCAGCTGAAGCAACCACCGACTTATAAATTTTATATACAATGTCAGCCAAATCCAATTCTTTCACGATGAAAGACTACTAAACCAACTGGACTAGGAATTAGTGATGCAATTAAAGACAGTTAATTTATCTCATTTCATTTGTGATGTTTAACTATTGAAACTTGTCTTATAATACAGTCTAGACCTGTTTATGGGCCGGGCCGGGTAGCCTGATGGGCGTCAGCCTGTTCTTTGTTGGACTTGGACATGATTTCAGGCGCACAGAAAAGCCCTGCCCAATCTTGGTCTGATAATATTTTATATAATAAAAAATATATAATATTTTTTTCTATATTCATATTCTCTTTTCTCAAGTCATAGTGAGGTCTTTCTGTATTTTTGGGTTCTGAGATCGTTTACTATAAATAAATCAATTTTGTTGTTGGTTAAAAGATCTTCTTGTCCAGTTTCCAGGGTGGGCTTTGGCTTGGGCCCGGGCTTTAGGATCGGACTCAGACTCAAGATCTAGGCCCAATGGTCATGCTGGCTCAGGCTCGGGCCTAAGCGTATTCTGTTAATAAAGAGGCAAAGCCTAGCCCATCAACAGGTCTAGTTCTATCATGATTATTGTCTACAACTACATTGGCATTGAAGTAGAGCTCTCTGTTTTTCTGCACCATCAATTTAACTTGTCCATTCAGATTAGATCTGCCGACTACATGGTAGATAGCATGTTTCCCGCAGATTGTATGCGTAGTCTACAAAATTGTTAAGATGGATATAAAATGTTTAGGGATAGAGAGACACAAACAAGGGTAGATGCATCTTGATAAAGTTCCAAATTGAATTCCACTTTCAAATGCAGAAGGCCTTCCAGCTAGTGCATTCAGGGGTCTCTCTCCATAGATATCTGTGGTGATGGCTAACTTTGGGTAGCGCCGGACTAGATCCAAAGCTACATCTGCAGTTGGAGAAATAATTACAGATAGACTGTAAGAGAGAGAGAGAGAGAGATTTGCTATAAAGTATAGACTACAACATTTCTTACCATAGAAATCAAAGAAGACTAGAGCAGTGAGAAGTGTTGCTCCATTGTTACTTATTTCTGGACATAGATCCTCATCTCTCGTCAGTGGGTAAAGATAATGCACCATTTCCTTGTTGCCATGAAAAGCAGCCATCACAACTGGTGTTAGTTGGTAATGATTTCTTATTCCCACCAAATCTTTGTTCTTTCTCACCATGATCTCTGCCATCTCAACCATCCCACCTACAGCAACAACGGAGAGGACTGGAACGCCAAGATTGTTCTTCTCTGCTAGAGCTTCTGTCGGCATCAACTTCACTAGCTCTTTTACTACTTGAACTTGACCTGTTTGAGCTGCAATGTGAAGAAGAGTGTCCCCTGCCACAGTGATTTTGGCACTCACTGCACCTTCATGGTTGTCAAGGAAAACTTTGGCACTGCTCCAGTCACCTCTGACAATGGCTTTGTACAGGGGCAGACACCAGGCGTACTCCCGGCTTGCCATTTCCTATAATGGATTAAGCATTACAAAGGTTCTAAAAACCATGATCGATCAATTTATAGGAATTTCAATTTTTCAATCTTGAAAGAATATATTCTTTGGCATCTTATAATGGAACTAAATAGCCTTCCTGTCTAAGGTCATACATTACTTGATTACCTGTTTAGTATCCACAAAATTTATTTAATATATCCTACTATTAACTTTGTCTTACATTGCCAGTCCCAAACCTGTTTAAAGGAGGAGGGTTGCATGGATCATCATATTGATGGTTGTCTGATTGATGATATCCTACTACCAGTGTAGTTTGTCAATGTAGGCTGCACGGAAGAGGTAATTTCTGTATGGACAAGAATATTCTATCTTCAGCCTGTTGACTGACACTATTTCTTGACAAGTCGCTTATCTTACTCCATACTCAGGGCATCGGCATCCAATTGCCAAATGTGGCATCAACTTGGATACTGTTTTGGATCGTGGTGTTTCCTTGTCAATTTGTTTGAGCATAATTATTCGCATCCCTTTCTGAGCATGCAACTGCTACCCTCAATCCAGTGTAACCTGAAAAATTGGGGACAGGATCCAGTAGGCATAATATAGGAAGCACATTTATTAACCACTTTATAAATATTCTGATAAAAGTTATTTTTAATCTTTTTTTCAAGGGTAGGTTAGGGGTATTTCAAGGAATAAGTGCCAAAAAAAAATTGAAAATGCTCATTTAACGTGTCTACCTGATTCGGACTCGAAAAGTTGTCGTAGACCCCCAATTTTTTGCCTGATTACGACATGCAAAAGTGTTATACTGCCCCGGTGCCCCCTCTCCAGCGTCAATATTAAGGCTATGTGGGCTGGGTTAGCCTGAACCCAACCTGAGGGTTAGGTAGGGTTAAAAGTTCGAATTAAAATTAGGGTCGAAAAGCATGAACCTAACTTGTAAACTTTGAGTTGGGTTAGAGTTGAAGCCTTGGCCAACCCAAACCTGACTTAGATTCATATTTGAGTGTATAGATATTATATGAATAATATTTATTTATGTATGTTACTACTTACTACTTTATCTATCTATATGTATATATGTATGTATGTGATATACATGTATATGTGTATTTATATATATATATATATATATGCATGGATAATTTTAAATTTAAAGAAAAATATTTAAAAAAACATGATAATTATGTCCTTTTACATATATAATATGCTAAAACTGAATTTACCTCAACCCTTAAATAAGAACTTTGATAAAGGTAGAGAAATCAGGCCAACCCTGTTAGGGTTGTAGGTTCCACATATCAGGTTGAAAGGCTGGGTTAGGAATTAGGATTGACCAATCCTACTCAGCCTGACTTAGAGGAATCCAAATCTATTAACCAATCACGGTGATTCCTTAATACACAGATATCTATGCACTACTTCTGTGTGGGTGTTTTGGCTTTTTGCATAAACATGGGCATTAAAATACATGATTCTTCATGTTTATGAACAAGCATTGATGTGGCTAGTTGTTTAAATGCAACATCAGATAAACTGAATCGATGTGAGAAAAATCGTTTTGAATGATTAGCATAGACTTCATGACCTGGAAGAATAATTCCTTTAGGCTGAGTTTGGAAGGAGTACAAATATAAATATGTAGAGTGCAAAACCTTATTATTTTATATGCATTTGCACTGTACATATTTGCATTTGTACTATTTCCAAACATAGCCTTAGTCAATTTCAATAGTGCAATCCAATTCAATGACCATTTTCCTGTTTTCCTTCTCATGTTCTGTTTCTCCAAGGACAATTTTGCATATCAAGTTAGATCAGTACTAAAATTATTTATTCTCTCCAATAATATTGCTTTTTAATTTAAAAAGGAATTATTTAAATATCATCTTAATTATTTATTATTACATAGTTACTATTGCAATTTTATTCTCAAAGAAACATCTGATTTAGTTCTATTTATGATATTTAAATTTCATTTTCTTTAGATTCATAAAGAAAATGAAACATAAAATATTGCGTTTTCCGTTTCTAAGGCTCAAGTTTTATATTACTAAACCTGTATTTACACTCTACATATTTGTATTTTGTACTCAATGTAAATATAAATATGTTCAGTGCAAAATCTTGTATACAATATTTTTTAAGTCTTATATTTGCAATATACATATTTATATCTATATTCTTCCAAAATTGAGTTTTTAAGACTCCGTTTGGAAGGATTGTAAAGACAAATATGTAGAGCACAAAACCTTGTATTTTGTATTAATTTATGGGTGGGTGGGGGGGTTATTTATAAACATAGAGGCATTACTCTGGCACTCCCCAACTCCAATGTAAACAATGTTTCAATGGGTTCAAAAAGTGATATGCATCAATATGAAAAATCACAAACAAAAACCATGATTCACAAAAAGATAGAAGATTATGAATCTCTCTATATGAAAAATCATGAGCCCCTCCATTTGGTTTGCATGGGGAGGGCTTAACTACTTTCTAATACAAATGATGCTTACCATGCTATTCTTTAATATGATGGATTTGCGAACAAGGAATCCTCTAATGAAATTCCTTCTTTGCTATTAGGCTGCAACCTCAAATTCAGTCACGTCATCAAGTGTTGCAGTTCAACATCCTCCATGGGTGAGATGGCCAAATTTAACTGGGCAGCCGTAGCCCGGGGAACTACTAGTGTATGGCAAAGTGGACTGTCTCTGATCATTATAATCACTATATATATAAAATTTAACCAGTTTTATTGGACAATATAACTATTTGATTCGAGCATCAGATTCTGCAAAATTGAAGTTTCACAAGCTTTTGCATCCAATAAAATGGAATGTTCCAGTGGCAATACAACTCTATCTAAAATTGTTAACAAAGAATCCAAATTAGACCTGGACCACTCTAATGTGCGCATGAATTGCCCAAAATAGAGAGAGAGAGAAAGAACCTGAAAAAATGATGAATTGTGATCATAAGAATCCGTAATGGTCTGGGATGTTGCTCGAAAATGCGAAGGAAGAGTAGATAGGAAAAACAAAGTTAGAGGAAGAACGAGATGGAAGAGAGAAAGTGATTATTAATTGCCTGACGGTGTTCAATTAAGTGCAGTCACATTAGATGCGTGATCATGGTTTGCTTTAACTTTTGTTCAGGCCCGTTTGAAGATGGAAAAATCGTTTTTTAAGCTGAAATGCAATTAGGGCCTGATTGGAAGCGCTGAATCTTTTTTTGAGATGCTTTGAAGAAGCCACTGAGAGAAACTTCAGCAGAAAGCCATGTTTTTGGTTTTAAGATGGAAAATTTTGGGCTTTACTTATGGGCTGTCTAGGTGGGGCTGTACTTGTAAAATCAAAAGCCACTTTGTAAAGGTAGATGTTGCCCATGCATGGGAGATGGGCTGTGGGGCGTATTCCATAGGGAGCCCATCGAGGGAGCCCATCGGAATTCTTAAAACTATGTTTGATTTGAAGGAAAAGGTAGGGAAAGAAAGGGAAAGACAGAGGAACCTATATACGTTTTGTAAAGGTTTCCCTACCTTTTCTTTCTTTTCCCTCTATTTTCCTTCAAACCAAATATAATCTTAATAGTGATTCAATTGGTAAGCTATCTGACTAACTGTAGCAGAGACTTAGGGATTAAATCTTCCAGTTGGGATCTCCTGTAACAAAACATGTTCAACACATTCTCAACATGCTTTGACACAATACATCTCACCATGAGATTGGAACTCACCACAAAAGTGGGACCTGCATGTATGAGAATTAAAGTGTCAGATCATGTTGGGTGGGTGTTGGAGTTTATTTTGTTGGCAGGTGATCTGGATTCCAAATCCTCTAACCACTACCACCAAGGTTGGTGGGTTATAAGTATGTGGGGTATGGGCTACCCCATAAGTGGGTACAATCGCCGATTCAAACTTTGTGTTGGCTTGGTTTGAATAACATACTCGTATGTTCAAACCCAAGTTTGAGTTCAATTTGAATTCTATTTCTTTGTTTAAATTCAGACTCAGAAGTTTGAAAAATTAATATAATTTTATATTTTATAATATAATCGAGTTCAAGTTCAATTAGAATTTATTTTTTTTTTCGAGTTTAAATCAAAAGTTTGAAAAATTAATATATTTTCATATTCTATCTTGTGAGCTTTTGAGCTGAATATTTTATTAATCGAATTCAAGTTTGAAAACTTATTAAACTTACCCTGAAATTTAAATTAGATTAACATCAAACTCAACAAGCCTAATTGAATTTGAGTCTATTATTCGATTACAGCTAGTCCTATGAAAAAAAATCACTAAACTCACGAGGGAGCAGATCCTACTATTCAGCTGGGCGCTGGATTTTGTGGCCCATGATGCGCGATTCTATACTCTCTCTCTCTCCATCAATTTAAACTTGAAAGTTTTGAATTATTGACTTCTTTTTCTTTGGACAGACATCTGTGGCGTGTGATATGTATTATGATCACCCATAAAGCTAGTGAACATATATTAAATGTCATCATATCTGAAATATGCGGCTTTGCAATTAATCAAAATCCAGAAAATAGTATGTAAAACAAGCAATCATATTTCTTCTTTTGGAAGGCTGATTTGCAGCGGATTTTGATCCGAGCAATCATATTTTGTTAGATTCTGATCTTCCCTGTTTGGATCTTCAAATTGGATTGGATAAAAAATAGGATTCAATTAGAAATTGGATCGGATTTGGATCACCCCCCTATTCAATTCAAGAAGATCCAATCTGATATATATGTGTTATTTATTGACATATAACACATATATGCTATTTGTTTGTTTATAAATATATTATTTATATTGTATTTTTGTTAATTTTGTATATTAATTATTTTTTTATAAAAAACATGTATATATATATGATAAAAATAGTTAGGACTGTCAACGGGCTGGTTATGGGTCGGCCCTGGAACCGGTCCCGGAACCGATGGACCCAAATTTGATATGTATGTTAATAATACCCTTGCTAAAAATGCAATAAAACCCCTGTAAAAACCTAAAATACAACTAAAACTCTACTAAAAAACAATAAAAAACCTGTTAAAAAGGAAATTGATAAAAAACAATAATAACTGTATATATATATATGTATATATAGGTATATATATGTATATGTATATATACATATACATATACATATATGCATATATACATATACATACATATATATGTATATATGTATGTATATGTATATATATATATATACATATACATACATATATACATATATATGTATGTATATGTATATATATATACATATATACATATATACATATATATATGAAGGCGCAGCTCCCGAGTCGAATCAAGGCAAAGGAGCAGCTCCCGAGCTCAACACAGAGCAATGCTTTTCCGTCGTACATATAGATACATATGTGTGTGTATTAAATTTTAGTGTGTACTTATTGATTAACCCATGCCCAACCCAAATGCATCAAATTTTAGTGTAGGGGCCTAGGTTGGATAAATCCAACATGATATTAGCTGGGACCTTAAGCCCAATTCTAAAGGTTGGGCCTCACTTGAGCTTAATTACTGTTATTTTAATTACTATGAAATTATTTTTTTCTAAATAAATAAATAATGTAAAATGTTTTAATTACTGATATCTTACTTAAATAATTTATTAAATATGGTGCTTTACTATTAAATTAATTATCAAACAATTTGGTCACTAATTAAGTAACACAAGTTACATAAATTATGGTAATTTTTAATATAAATTAGAATAATTATTAATTATATATACTTAATGATTTAAGTAATTGTCAATAATAATTTAGTTATAATTAATGTTATTTTAATTAATTTAAAATAATTTCTTAGTAATTAAAATAGCAATAATTATAATTTAAATAATTCATCAAATATGGTAATTCACTATTTAAACTCCTTGATTTCACCAAATTTTAGCTTTAAACTCCTTGATTTCACTACTCATATGTTAAAGATTCCTCTTCAATGTGTTTGACACACTATGAGACTTCTCGAGCCTAAAACCCATGTTCCATGCATCTCTAATGCAACCAAACCTCCCAACAGCCTCATAATCCAAATCCATGCCACTGTACCAAATTCCAACTCAAAATCCCCCCGTTCGGCCCTTCATCAATCCAAGATTCTTTTTTGATAAATCTCATTAATTAAAGCTTACCAGCCAAGGATCTTCATCATTCCAGCCTCTCTCGACCAATTGAACCCCACCACCATGTTCAAAAACCCAAAAAACTTCAACACGTCAAATTTTATTATTAAACTCCTTTGTTTACCCGTTAAAAAAGTGAGATTCCATTTTGAGCATTTTTGTTAATTGATAAACTATAAGCCAAGACCTAATCTGAATCAAATCTCTCATTCCACATCATTAATCAAAGATCCATTATTTCCATCATATTTAGGATGTCCCAAAATGCATACCCACCAAATTTTATCCTAAAATCCTTTTGTTTGATCCTTCTTCAAGCCATGACTCCGTTTCAATAAATCTCATTGATTAAGAATATACCAGTCATAGATCTCCATCATCAATGATTAATCCTCTAAAAACTATGGGGTCTCCTGCATGGAAAAAGAAGTAAAATGAATACAAGTTGCATGTTAAGTTAGTAAATGGGTGATTTGATTTCATCTTCTAAAAATGCTTGACTTGGGCTGAGCTTATGAATTCTTGTCATCAACAATTAAGCTCCGTAATTGCCTAGGGGGTAATGTACTCTCTCCAATAGATAGATAACCACATTGGTTGAACCTCCGATGTGCTTAACCACATTGGAGCTGGGGCACCCAGTACCCACAGTACACTACAGCTGCACATCCATGAATCATATTGGACTCAATTGTAACAAGGGTTTTCCTTGTAGTGAAATCTTTTATTTATTTTTTATTTTTTTCTATTAAAATGAAAGTATTAAGATTTATGCATTCTCCTAATTCCAGAATCAAGACTCAGTATCAATAACCAGTTAACTATCTACTACATTATTTCAAAACTATAATGTTACAATAGCACTCTAATATGTTAACCAACAGGAAAAACTTCTTCATCATCCAAGCATTAATAAGATACAATCATAAATCTATAACAAACTACCAAAAGCTAGATTATTTGCAATACCCAAAAGGACGTAGACTTTTTTTTTTTATTATTTTAAAGATACAACCTGGACGACGCAAATATATATATTGCATCTGGTGGTAGGAAATGAAGAGATTCCATTCCATCCATATATACAGGTCAAGGCAAAGCAGACTGATGAATGTTATGGTAATGGAACGGTGGAGTAGACTGCCTCCATAAACTCTTCAATTGACTCAAGGGCATCCATTTCCTCAGGCGGAAGGCATACCTCCAAATCCACGCTCCCACCGCCTTCTTTTCCAGGGTATGCATAAACCACCCCACCAAATTTGTTACCAGAGCCTTTACGAACAGCTAATGGTTGTCCCCACCCAAAATCATTCCCAGACACGTCGAATCTTGGCGAGCTCGCAATCATCACACCACATGGATCGAAGAACTCCCTTAGTTGGTAAACGGAGGGGGCCATCATCTTTGCTTCCATATACTTGCGCACCACACTGTCTGCGTGGCCGGCCACAGCTTGATGCAACATCAGTGCTGCCCACCCAAGGCCATGGCTTAGTAGTTCTCCCACTGTTGTCGTCCCGCTCACTGTCTGAATTGCGGTTCCAAAGTAGTTTGAAGACAATGGGGGATTCAATCTTGGGCTGTTGTTGATGACCAACGTGCAACTCGTTGTCTGGCTGACATTTAACTCTCGCGCCTGTGTCGTGGCCCTCCAGAGCAAGGCTGACAACGCTTGCAATGAGGAGATGGTGGTCGTGTTGCACTCTGCATTGGCCTTCGCTTTGAGTCTTGCCATGGTTTGTGCAGAGGAATGGAAGAACCTCTCTCTGAACATGGGTGGATTGTATCTCTCAATGAACTTGTTATGGTGACCAGAGAAGGGTAGGTTTATGATGAAGGAAGATTTGGCCCGAACTCGCAATCACGTCACGTGGCTAAAAACAAGTAGCTCGACACTTGAAGCAACGTACCCATGGTGCAAACACCAAAGGGAAGAAACCAGCAGACTGAACTCCCCTCGAGGAGACCGAACTTCCTACGAAGAGCCCGAACTTCCTTCGAGGAGCCCGAACTCCCTAAGAGGAGCTTGACCTCTCTACTAAGAGCTCGAACTCCCTACGAGGAGCCCAAACTCTCCCTTTGGCCCCAAGCCACACAAAGCATTGACCCGAACTGGTCCGCCTCATGGCAGTTCGGGACACTCCCCTATCCGAACTCAAGACTTCGCCTCGCACGTTGCTCCAGTACTTCGCCTCCCGAACGCCGAACTAGACAAACCGCACCGTACCTGACACCGAAGGAGTCCGTATCCAGGGGCGGCACACCTGACTGACTTGGGATCTGACGCTTGACAGCCGCGCTTCAACGGCTAACTACCACCGTCACCTGCCACCGCCATCTCCAGTTACAGAGACGGCTCCGACAAAAGGAGCAATGGCGGTTCTGCCCCAGCAGAGGTGATGACACCCAAACTGGTAGAAGCACAGAAGTATGCAAACTTTGCGCTATCTAGTTTTATCTTGCCTTTGAAGAATTCTAACTTGAGCTTCGGAGCCTTTACACTAGGTTCCCCCCGGAGCTTCCTCATCTTCTCCATTTTAGGTTCCCTGCTGCTCAGTTCAGAGGCAAGCTCATTGACAGCTAAGACCAGCCAGATTGCGCACCATCAATTGGCACCGTCTGTGGGAAGACGCTTCAAAAAGCCTCCCTCCAAACTCTCATAACCCCTTTTCTTCAAACCCAACACTCATGGCTTCTTCCAGCAACGCCGGACGTGGCACGGAGACAAACACCACTGGGGAACAACTTCAAGTCCCCATGGTATGCGTTGGACAGTTCACCATCCCCCTCTCAATGGATGGGATCCCCAGCTTGAATGCACCACAAGCAGTGGCGCCCGCAAACCTTCCTGCCATGAGCATCCCCTTTCCTCCCCCTATTGAGACAACCTTCACTGAACCAACTGTCGTCCCCCTGACAACCAGCCAAAATCGGTTGGACGACCTGATGCAGTGCATGGCGGGCAATGCAAGCCCAAATGCAACAGTTCCAGCAACACCAGCTTCATTAGCACCAAGTACTGCACAACATCTCCCAGTATCACTATCAACAACAGTTCCCCCAACTGCCGCTGAACCAACCACCACTTCCACCTCGGCACCCTACTCCGAGGCCGGTTAAGGCCTCCCCATAGGATGGATGCCCCCACCAGGGAAAGGTCTCCCGGCCCCAGAACCCCCCTAACAGCCAGGCCTCGTCCCTAGGCCGAAGAGAGAAAAATCATCCCCGCCTCGTAGCTCGTAGGCGGGTCAGGAACCTCGCCCACAAGATTGGCACCTCGGCGCTCCAAGCCTGAGTTCCCGCTCATGGAAAATCGATTCGGTGCCCTGGCAGCAGACTACCAACATTCCGGGCCCATCGAGCTCGACAACACAGAGGCCAGCAACGCCAGTACCAGGCCCACTCAACAATGAAGGCGCCGGGGAAGTCGCCAAACTGCCACCCGTGTCCTGTCAGAGCTCAGAGGCAAGGAAGAGACAAGCTCGGACGAGGTAGGAGCTGCCCCGATTCTCTCAATTTCTTCCCCCCTCGCATCAGAACTCCTGGCGGTCCTCTTGCCCAGGGATTTCAAGCTCCCACCTTTGGACAAGTATGATGGGTCCTTCGACCCCAACGACCACGTTGACGCTTTCCAGTCCCAAATGCACCTCGCCAGGGCCAGTGAATCGCGCAGGTCTTCACTGCACACTTTGTCACCAGCAAACGGTGCCCCGGAACAAAGGAAAGCATCTTCGGAGTAGTCCAGAGGAAAGGAGAATCCATCCGGGGCTACATCAAGCGGTTCAATGAAGCATGCTTACAGATACTGCGGTTAGACCCCGCGGTGCAGCTCGCGACGGCCAAGAGAGAATGCACAAAGAGTTCAAGTGGCACATGGTAGCTAACCAGCCCGTAACCATGGCCAAATTCCTCAAGCTCGCGGACAAGTTCATGAGGACAGAGGAAGAAATCAACCAACGAACCGAAAGCGGGAATGAGAAAAGAAAGAGGGAAGGCGAGCCCTCCAATCCAGTCGACAGAAAAAACCCGGCCCGAGAGCCGAAGCCGAACCAGTTGCTCCAAGCTCCCCTAGTAGTTCGACCGGATTACACGCCGTTAAACGCAAGGCGGACCGAGATCTTAATGACAATCAAGGACGCCCCATACGTTAAGTGGCCACCTYGCCTAAAGGGAAATCCRAACGAGAGAAATAAGAATTTGTATTGTAGTTTCCATAGAGACCACGGTCATTGTACCGAACAGTGTAATAATCTCCGGGACGAGATAGAGAGGCTCATCCGTCACGGATACTTAAGAAATTTTGTACAGCATAACAATAATAACAATAAGGCAGGTCGCAAAGGGGAGCACGAAAAGGATGCCCCCGAATCTAGTAGCAGACCTGCCGAACCGTTGCAGCGACAGCCTCCGGAAGAGAGGCCAGTTCGGGGAACCATCCATGTAATTGTGGGAGGTTCGGTGGTAGCAGGGTGCACCTCAGCAGCAGCGTAGACTTCAGTTCGTGAAGCGGCTCTCGAGGAACAGAACCCCCCAAAAAGACCGAAGACCGAAGAACCAATCTCCTTCATGGAAGACGACGCACGAGGGGTCCACTACCCCCACGATGACGCACTCTTCATTAAACTAAGGATCAGCGACTTCGAGGTTAGACGCGTACTCGTAGATTCGGGCAGCTCAGCGGACATCCTCTTCAAATCAGCATTTGACCAACTACAGTTATAGAGGAGCGAGTTGAAGCCCACGAACACTCCTCTGGTGGGTTTCAGCGGAGAGGAAGTCAGTCCCCTCAGAAAAATAATAGTACCTGTGGAAGTCGGCACATGGCCTTGTGCGGTCAGACTCAACCATGATTTCTTGGTGGTCACGACCTCCTCCCCATACAATGCCATAATAGGGCGGCCAATCACGCATATCCTGCGGGCGGTGATCTCCACCTACTATTTGGCCATGAAGTTCCCTATAGACTTCGGTGTGGGGGTAGCGCAGGGCGACCAGCTCGAGTCCTGCAAGTGTTATGTTGCCGCCCTAAAGGGAAAAACCAAGGTGGCCGACGACCTTGAACTGGAGCGGCCTACGGAGCAAGGCGAGGAACGAGCCTCGCCCATAGAGGAAACAGTCGCAGTCTCGATTTCGGCTACAGACCCAGCTCGCACACTACAGATCGGTGCTTCCGTCGAGAAACCCCTACGAACCGAACTGGCGAGTTTTTTACTTCAAAATTTAGATATTTTTGCCTGGTCTGCGGCCGATATGCCTAGTATTAGCCCCAACCTGATAACTCACAAACTTAATACTGACCCTGTAGTCAGACCCGTTTAGACAGAAGAAACGCAACTTAGTCCCAGAGCGCTGGAGGGCGGTCGATGAGGAGGTTGAAAAGCTCCTCGCAGTAGACTTCATAAGGGAAGTCCATTACCCGAGCTGGGTAGCCAACCCAGTGCTGGTGAAAAAGGCAAACGGCAAGTGGCGCATGTGCGTCGACTACA